TGGGTGTGGTTTACACACGAAAGACAATCAGGGCTTCGTGCCTTAAAGACAAGGCTTGGCTGTTCATCAAACAACTGGTGAGTGGATACACATGTGTTTTAAGTTAAAAATGGACCGTTAAAGGTGTGTGTGTCATTCCTATGGCTTCCATGCTTCAACCTACTATTGTAATTAACTACTTAACCAACCATCGGGAAAGAGAAATTGTTGACTTGATTTCTTTCACTTAAAAGGTAATTATTACTTTATCCATTCAGTATTTAACGCATACTTATCAAGCACCAAGTAGCGCGTTCTGTGCCAGCTACACAAATCCTGCTTTATTAATACTCGAAGTTCCATACTTGGGACCAAGCCCTGGACTGCTGCTCTGATCCCCTCTCTCTTCTTCCTCCCTAAGCACTCTCCTTCTCCTTCCACCCATTTCCTCCTCCTTCTCTTTTTCCCCCGTTTCCTGATCACTGGCAAAGGGACATTGGTTGACCCCAGGACACTCCCAATTATCACATATTCCTCTATCCGTTTGGAGAAGTTCCATTTCTGTTCATTGATCACACCTCAACTCTCACTACCTTGAATTTTCTCTCTCACACATACGAACACATTTCCATACCCATTTCTCTCCTCCTTTCCATCTTCCACCCCTCTATCCCCATTCCCTCCTTCCCTTTTGGTTATATTTCTAAGTGGAATAGCTGACAGGCATTAAAGTAATAATACTTTACTGAAGTATATATCAAGGAAAGGAAAAAACTTTAAGTTTTCAAAGACTAAAACCAGACACTTGACCTAAGGCCATCAACAGTAAAACTCTTAAAATGATCCAGAACTCTCCTTCCAAAGATCTATAAAAATCACCAACTCGCTCTGTAATCGCTCTAATTACATCTGCATTTCTTCAAAAACTACCGTTCGAACCTCAAAATCGCCAAATCAATTTTATTTCCTGCCATTTTTGCCACCTCTTTGGCATTTAAGAGTTTTGTTTTCTTCCATGTTTTCATTGGAAACATAAAATATGTCAGCTCTACTGAAGCATGCTGAGAGGCAACGAGGAGAAGCCGACCGCAGCGAGCTGCAGAGCTCTTGCTGGCTGGCTGAGTTAGGTAGCCCTCGTCGTTCACTGCCCTGTTTGGAGTGAGAAAATTGTGTTTCCTTTCAATCAGTCACTGAACAAACAAACAAAAGCATAACTGTGCTTCCCTCTCCCCCCACAAAAAGTGCATGACTTGGAGCAGGTCTTTAAGAAATATAAACACTTCTGTATCATTTAGTACCATTTCCTCTCTAATTTGTCATAAACGACAAACATTTCTTCATCAAGCTTGGGTCTACCCTTTGGTCTAAACGAGTTTTAGACTCCATGAATTTTTCATGGCTTCCTGAGTTTATCCAGGATTTAACAACCTGCTAACTGGCTCATCGTGAGTTAAAATCTTAGTGCCTTTTTCTGCTACTGACTTTGACTGGGATTCTTTTTTATTAGGTCAGATGCGGTGCTAGGCCGAGGTACACTTGCTGTGTTAATACCCAGGTCTTTGCTGTCTCTTTCAATGACCGGGGAGCTGGCTTTCTGATCCTCTGCGGCTAGGCAAAAACGAGAAAGAGATTTTTAGACTAAATGTCTGCATTTTGGAATTGTGAATCCTCTTAAATGTTTTTTTTTTTTTTTTTTCCTCTCGGGGATTTTCTTGGCAGCTAAGCTCTCATTGCAAACTGCTTTTTCTATACGTACAGAAATCCTGCAGCTTTTCCAATTGATCTTTATGCATTAGGTTGCTTTGATAAACATTAGAAATCTCTTGGTATGTGCATTTCTCATCTCCCAATTTTCAAAGACATCTCACTGTTAAAAGCAACTGTAGTTTCTTTCCCCAGAACATTTTACAAAGCACTGAAAGAAAAGACACTGTGGGCCTTTTTTTGATTTGTTTGTTTCTGGTTAATGTATATTCACATAGCCCTAAAGACATGGGAAAAGGTTCCTGTGTGCTTGGTTCGTGAAGAAGGAGATTTGGTGGAAATGTCCAGTTGTGATCTAGCATAGAATAACCCAGTCTCTGCTCCATGCTCCCTCTCTCCAGCCCTGATCCATCCTGCCGACAGCCCCATTCAAACCATTGCTTCAGCAAGACCCTGTTGCTGGAGAGCTGTCCAGACTCCAGAACTCTGCCATAGCCAGCTTTCTGTTACACCCACCCCGCTGATGCCTAGTCTGTAGCAATTTCTCTAACACAAAGCACAGCTTGTAGGTGAGCCCACCTGGTGCCCCTTCAAAGGGAGATGCACCCCCTCACCACACACCACGCTCGGACCAGGAAAGAAGTCAACTGTAGGAGCATTAGTTCCAAGTCCAGGACATCAAAGATGACTCTGCAAAGGGGGCTTCTCCCAAGAAACACCCTTCCTGTGCAGCCTGGGTGGCCACATTTTTTTTGAGGATCCTCAAGTGTTCTTGAGGGCCTTTTTGATGATAGCCAGGTTCACACCATCTTTCAGCCTGTGCTTGGTCTTTCTGATCCAGTCCAGTGTCTGTGGCCTTTACTTCTTTGTGTCCACTGGGTCCTATGGCTGTCACATGCTGTGATCCTGGACTGACCCAGAGATCCAACTGCATTTCTTACTGTCCCGTGCTTCTATAGCAAGCAGCACCTCAGGGTTTCTGCAAACTAGATGCCTACGTTGTGCTTTGAAATATCTTTTCAACTTTTTTAAAACTATGGCTTAAAAATCCACACATAATCGTTTACATAAGACATCAAATATTCACCCTGCAGAGGTCCTAAATGTTAACTCGGACTGCTCTGTCAAGGGTTAGATAGCACACAGGCCTCAGAATGAAGATTTTCCTGCTTCTTTGCCCATATCTGACATGTGTGTGACTGCGTATTGGTGAAGATGTTTGTAGTTCTGTGTGTGTGACTTTGGATTTCAGGCCTGCACAAGTCCACTCATGCAAGATTATACAAGCCACGATGTATAAAAGCACACACTCCAGCACCACACTCAATGAAATGACAGGCATGGGCCCAACGGCATCTGCTTGGTGAATGCTACAGCATTCACCCTGGCTGGACCATTGTCTGTGGCACAGTTATAATGACATGTTATAGACTGTTCACTTTTTATTGTCAGTCCTAGGCATTTGAGGCCAGCATATAGTTATGAGGAAGACAGACAATAAGATATTCTTCATGATTCAACTTTGAAACACATTCTTCTGCCTTCCCTTCTGTTCCGATTGTGAATTCATTTCTTTAAAGACCATCCCAAGACTGCAAGGTGAATTTCATCACAGACTTGTTACCAAGTGCAAAAATTCAGTTTTTACCTGTATATATCAGGATTGTCTTAAACTAGTGTAGCTAAAACAAGTACAAATAAATGAGTTGCTGAGGTAGAGCTCTAAGCTATCACTCCAAAGTCCTGACTTCAGACTTTGGTGTTTATCCCAGCTGACTCAATGATCTCATAGGGTGTGGATATTATACATTTGAATTTAGGGTAAATTTATATTAAATGCTATCATTGTTTAATATATATATATATATTGAGATTTTATAGAATTTTGATCAAGGAATTTTTAAAAGCTTGTCAGCTTCTGAAAAAGTTGGAGGGGTAACAGGTGTGGTGGTGCATGCCTCAAATCCTAGCACTCAGGAGGCAGAGGCAGGAGGATCACCTCGAGTTCCAGGCAAGCCTAGGCTACATAGTGAGTTCAGAGCCAGGCTGAAGTTATATAAATAAATAAATAAACACATAAATACATAAATAAATATTTTAAGGAGTGGGTAACACTCATGACTTATGTTTTTTGACCACTGAGTTATTGATCTACATAATAGGAGTAATACTACTTGATGATTTATCATGCATACTTGATATAAAGATCAAATTTTAAAACGCAGGTAGAAAGTACAAAAGTTCTGAGCAGAAGGGACCAGAGGACATGTTTTAGTAATCCTAAATGGAATACGTCAAGATCTGTGGGGTGGTAACCACTGTACACTATTTTTAAATGTTCTTCAAATCTGTCATACAAACCATGGTAAATACCCAGGGATCTAGTCCTATTTTTAGTTTTAAAAAATGTTTTTTTAGATTGAGGTCTAAAGAATATGGTCAGGTTAATATTATCCCTACGTTATTGTGGAGTGATCAAGTCTGCAATCTCCACTGTACAGCGAAGCCTAAATAAAAGAGACAAATGGAGTGATTTCAGGGCTCCAGGAAGATCAAAACCCTCTTATGGAATTTGAGATTCTCTTGGGGCAAAGACCAAGACCTTCTCTGACCCGCCTGTATTTATTTAGTTATCAGAACAAGGGAGGGGAATACTCAAGAAGGGTGGGAATCCTTTGAGCACTTCTCCAAGTAAGGAGTTAGGTTAGTCTACCCAAGAGTGAGATGTCTGAGGCTACAATCTTTATCTAGTTGAGGTTGGAGCCAGATGTGCTTAGCTGTGACCCTGTCTTATCCTTTGAGGCTTCACAGCTTCACTCACCATTACAGGCCTCAGTAGAGACCAGCGACTCACAGAGGTTCACTTACTATGAGTCCACCATCCATCTCCAGACAAGGAGCCTAGGCCTCAGACAGACTCACAAGTAAACATGGAAAGCCAATTGGTTAATTTAAGTCCTGCTCAGAGCTGTTTGCAGTGGTCTCCATCGGAAGGTCTCTCAGAAAATAGCAGAGATTGCCATAGAACACAAGCTGTCTGGGTCTCCTTCCATAGCTCCTGGACCTAGAAAACTACCGACTACCTGTAATCTTCCATGAAGACACCCATGAGATGCACACCCTTAAGACCAATCACTATAAGAAACTGTGCAGTCAAATGCAAATATCAAAATCCATATTCTCTTGCTTTTGTCTTTTGGATTGTTTTTTCCTGCTGTGCTGGGACTCAAACCCAGGGCCTCCCGCACACTAAACGAGTGCTCTACCGCTAAGCTGCACACCCGTTCCGTTTTCCTTTTAAGAGGTTCTTTACTTACCCAAGAAAGCCCATGAAATGAGAAGCCATGATGCCACCAGGCCAGGCTAAGGGCTCCTCAGAGGCGAACGGAATGTTCTGCAGGTGGGAGTGGCGTTCAACTCCTACAGAAACAAACAATGTTATTTTTAGCATCATTTGCTTAGGCACTTCTAGAGTCCAATCAGACCAACAAACCAGAAGTGAAAGAGAAAAAAAAAAAGAAAGAAAAGATACTAAAACAAAAATGCCACTGGCCAGCTATGGCATTGGGCATGAACACGAGGTGACAAGTGTATAGGACATTCACTCAGAACAGTGCCTGACCCACGGAAGATGGTCAGTACATAACTTTCAGGATGATTACCCATGACTCCGAACTGATGGGGGAATTGGCATTAGGTGAAGCAGCACTGGAAATCCAGCTCCCTCTCTTCCAGGCTGCTTAATCCCAGAAAGTTACTACACAGGCAGGTGCAGTACCTCAGTTCCCCCAATGGTGCTGTGTGGGCACAGATACTCCCTAACAATAAGAAGAAGTGAAGTCCTCATACAACAGTGTGCTACAACATGAGTGAAACCTGAAAACATTATACACTGGGAAGAAGCCAGACACAAAAAGGCAGACCTTATATGATTTCATGGGTAGGTAATGACCAGAATAGGCAAACCTAGAGAGACAGGGTAGACTCCTGGTTGCCAGGGTCTGGGGGCTAGGGAGGAGTTAATGGAAAGATTCAATACTTCTTCTTGGAGTGACAAAAATGATCTAAAACGAAGAGTGGTGATTGCACAATGTTGTGAATAGACTAAAAGCCGTTGAACTACAGTGGTACCTTGGTTCATGAACTTAGCTTTGTTCCATGATTCTGGAAGAGATGGCCACCTCTATGTCTGTGCAGGAAAGATGGCTGCGGTCCTGTTTGTTACCCGGTGTAGTTTGCAGACAAAAACGAAAGTTTGCCAAACGCTTTTATTTAGGAACCAAATTGTTCAGTAATGCTTCAGTTCACAAATGCTTCTGTTTGAGAACCATTTAATTCACAAACAGAGCGTTGGGCAAAATTTTGCTTCCTTTAGAAAACTCTGCATCAGGTGACAAACATGAACGCTGCCATTTCCCTCAGAATCATGGACTGAATTAAGTTTGTGAACTGAGGTACCCTTGTATTATATGATATATTGATGAAGTGTATAGCACATGAATTACATCTCAATAAAGTTGCTTTGAAAAGTACTGCTTAGGGTGGGGGTATGGCCCAGTGGTACAGCAGCTGCCTAGCATACACAAGGCACTGGGTTTGATCCCCAACACCACACACACACACACACACACACACACATGCACACGCACACACACACACACACGCACACACGCACACACCTACTGTGGGTCACTGTCAAGATTAAAACAGGAAGGTATATAACATGAGAGCCAGAGGTAGGCACAAAGTGACCACTGGTTATTGATAGTGCCAATGACACGCATGTGAAAAAAGGCCAAGCACACTGAAAGTATGGTATCCCAGTAAAAGTAGGTAAGCAAAGCCCCTTGCCTGCAAGCAGCGCTTCACTCAGACACCATCACTAAATAGAATCTCTAAACAGCGTCAAGCCAGCCAATGGTTTCAAAAGGCAAATTATAAATAGCATCATAAAGCTGGGGATGGGCGGTTTGGCTGCAATGGAATGGAATTTGAGAACAGAGCTGGCCCAGCCTCTGCTCCTCCTGCTTCTCCTTGCAGGGAAGACAAATAATGAAGCCAGGCTGCAAGGTGTGCCAGAACCCCTCTCCCAAAGGCAGTTCCCTAAGATCACTGCTTTCTGCGTTCTTCCTAGGACTTTGGGGTGGGGAGATAAATTACAAGGATTTACGAAAAAGACAGGAGAATCAGACAGGTCCATTCACAGGGTAAAAAAGAATCCAGATTTTAAAAGTTACCACTGGCCCTTTCTGGGAGTATTAAGAAAGTAAAGCCTCTTAACTGTAATCACCCCTAATTAGCCATCAGCAACTCATGAAATTACTCATAGTACTGAAGACCCTTAAATTCTTGGATCTCAGCCGAAGTTACACTGAGATCTACCAGGAAGAGGGCCAGCAAGTGCAAATTGGAACAGTTAAGACTTCTCTGAAGCTGAGGCGTGGTCTCCTTGCTCTTGGCTGCAGAGCAGGTGGGCACAGAGTCAGGGGGCTTGGAAGTCAGAAAAAGCCTTTGCCAAGAGCCTAACACCATGGGCTAATCAATAGTCATTCACTCGGTAGGAGGTGCATTCAGGTCCCCTGCAGGGCCATGGGATTCAAGACATGGACACAGTAATGCAGGTTCTTCCTTTTCTGATCCACTGCAACTGGGTTAGATTTAGGGATGTGGACTGTGGGGTTGGGGTGCTGTCCAGAACAGCGCAGGTTAAGTATGTTCACTCAGACTGGAAGGACAAAGCCAACTGGTTCAGGAGAAGCAGAAGTGCTGTAGAGGGCTGGCCCGGCACCAGCGAGCAAGAAGGAACCTCAAACCAGGCCTTGGCCCAAGCAGGTTCTAAAGGAGGAGTCTAGACTTGCTGGAAAGAGTGTGCGTGCTGCCATCTGAAAGACTTGTGAGTGAGACTAACACCCCCATCTATTCACCAATTAATCTACCTTTCAGTGTCCTCATCTATAAAGTAGGGAGAGACTTTAATTACATTATAGTGTTAAATGTTTATGGAGATTGCATAACCTGGATGCTGGACGTGCACACACACACACACACACACATAGGCACACACCCTGGGCAGGCTGGGGCCTTGCCTCAAGGAACTTACCACCTAGGATGCAAAAGACCTATACACTTTAAGCAAATGAAAAGCATATAAGTATAAAAATGAAATTGTGCTAAGAGCCAGGAAGGAAACTCGTAGATGCCATAGAAATTGCCATGGGCAGAGATCAGAGAAGATCCCTTTGAGGCAGTGACCTCTATCTACACGGGGCTTGAGAGATGAGAAAGAGTTAGTGGGGTCAGGAAGGAAAAGGGAACACCCCAGAAAGAGAGAAGCATGTCGGGAAAGGTGCAGGAGGAATGGGAGGGAGGTGGAACCAAGATGGTGGAAGGTGGGTTGTAACAAAGGGAAGAAGCGAAGAGCTGAATTCTACTGAGCAGGAAAATCCCTAGCACATGGTAATATTGTCTGAGGAGACAAGGGAAGGAGGTGTCAAAAGGGACCTCTCCCATCCTCCTAATTTCTGATGGACAGAGGTAGAAAAGCGAAGTGTTCATGGAACGTTCCCAGCTTTGTCAGGAAATGAAGGACAATGTTGAAGGAAGAGGTCGGGGGTGGACCATGGTTTGCAGAGGGGGCAGCTGCCTAAGAAAGTCTGAAACATCAGCCACAAAATATAAACTATCCAAACAGATGGAAAATAGATTTCAACTGCTGTGGATACCACCAATGTTGCCCATCCTCTATGTGTACTATGTGTCATATATTTGCTGACAGTAAACCATTATGATTAGCAAGTTATTTAAAATACAGCCTCTTTCACTTTTATCTCATTCTTTCAAAATTTATATTTGGGGTGACTTTTTATGTGGTCACATAGCACACGGATAGGTAAAAATTTAAAAATAACCAAATGTATATACTCGAGGTGTGTGCAGAGATATTTTTTACTGATGTGAAAAAATTTGGGGCAATCAGTGCAAAAAAATTTTTTTTGGAGACCACTCTTCTATTTCACATTTGATCACTTTTACTTCAAAGTATGTCTAAGGCGTGTGCTTGGGGGGAATTACTAGCTTTGCCATTTTCTTTTTTTACATATATATAAAGGTTGACTTTCTTATTAGTATATTTTTACATTAGTATATGTTTGCATCAAAAAATACATTCACTGTGGGAAACTGTCATATATACATACTGTATCTTATCCTTTTTACTTCCTCTCTTTCCATCTCTATAAAGTCTACCTCCCTGTTTTCTATCACCTTTTATTTTTGGACTTTGTATTTTGGGGTTCTCAGATAAAAGAAATCATACAATATTTAACTTTCTGTGTCTAATTTATTTCACCTAACAGTATGGCCTCAAGATGCATTCATTTTCCTACAAATGACTCAAAGGTATCCTTCTTAATGAATAGTATTCCATTGCATATAAATACCATAGTGTCTTTATCCAATCATCAGTTGATGGACATATAGGCTGCTTCCAAGATTCAGCTATTTTGAGTTGTGCTACTACAAACATGGATCTGCATGGATCGCTGTAATATGTCTTTAACTCTTCCAGGAAGATACCCTAAAGCTGAATCAAATGAAATTTCTAGTTTTAGTTTTATGAGGAATCTCTGTACTGATTTCCATAGTGGTTGTACTGGTTTACATTCACACCGACAACGTAGAAAGGGGCCATTTCCACCCATGGCCTCACCTGCATTTCTTGTTTTTTGAGTTTGTGATGATGGCCATTCTTTCTGAAGATGGCATCTCAGGGTCATTTTGATTTGCATTTCTTTAATGGCCAAAGATGCTAACCATTTTTTATGTATCTACTGGCCATTTGAATTTCTTCTTTTGAAAAATACCTATTCATTCAATTGCCCATTTCTCTACTGGGTCATTTTGTAGGGGAGGTCTAATTTTTCTGTGTTCTTTATATAGTCTAGATGTTAGTCTGCTGTTCTAGGGATGGCTGACAAAAATTTTTTTCCATTCTCTAGACTGTCTCTTCACTCTATTGTTTGTTTCTTAGCTCTGCAGATTTTTTTTTTTTTTGTCTTTTCTCCGGTACCGGGAACCGAACTCACGACCTTGAGCTTGCCAGGCAGGCGCTTTTGCTGCTGAGCTAAATCCCCAGCCCCTAGCTCTGCAGATTTTTGATATAATCCACTTTGCTGATTTTTGGTGCTATTTCCTATGCAATTGAGGTTCTGTTCTGAAAGACTTTGCCTACACCTATGTCTTCAAGAGCTTTACCCATTTTACCTTCCAGAAGACTCAGAATTTCTGTTTGTATATCTAGGTCTTTGATCCATTCTGATTTTATTTTAATGCAGGATGAGAGACGTGGGTCTACGTCCATTCTTCTGTGTGTGGGTGACCCGTTTTCCCACCACCACTCTGCCATTTTCCTGGGGTCCACTTGGCTGCCATGCTGGGCACTGTGCTAAGTCACCTCTGCTTTCTAAAACTGAGGGTCACCGCCTGTGGGTCTGTCATGAAATTCATCTCATGAGCAATGCTCAGCATTTTTAAAAGAAGCAGAATCAGTGAAGAAAATGAGAAATGCCAGTGTTTGTCCTAGAGGGTAGGTATTTCTTCCTGTAGCTCACAGTCACAGAAGTTCAAAGTCCTTGCTCTGGAAGACCAGAGACAGCAGAAGATTATAACTGTGATGGTGGGGGCTAAAAGTGAGAAGACAAGGGAAGGCCGTGTTTTCTATGGCCTAATTTTGCTGCCATGGGCAAGAAAGAGCCATTGTCGGCCGTGAGGAAAGGAGAGATGTAAAATGAGATTTCCCGAAATTCCATTTGGCAAGCGTGTGCTAAGCGGATTGAGAAAACACGCTGTCCGTGGGGTTGAGTGGGCCTTTTGAGGGTTGCTCCTATTGATTTATAACCTTGACAGTGAACAAAAACTTGAACACTCCGGTTTCTCTTAGAGCACATGCTCACTGGAGGGTGGCAGCCCCAACTCCTTCCCATTCAGCCGAAATGCTACAGAAAGTCCCCCGAGTCGATTTAGTTGCAGTCCCCATACCTGGGAGCCTCAAGTCTCAGGATGAAGGGGATAGAAAGAGGCCATGAGGGGACTAAGCCGGGGCAGAAAATGGCTCTCTGATCCCAGAAATCAGCTGAGTACCTTTCCCGCCCCTTTTCCTCAAGGCCTATGGGAGTTCCTAGGAGACCCCACGAGTCCGGGTCCCAGAGGCCACTCCACGTGCCCACGCCACCCCCTCATCTCTCCTTTCGGCCCACACACATGCCTGGGAATCCCGCAGTATGCAGCCACCACTCAAACAAAAGCACTGGCCCCTGGGGATGGAAGTGACTCACCACAGAGACTGAGGGCCAAAAATTTTAGGAGGAGGTAGCTGCAGAGTCTAAATCCAGCACCCGGTCATAAGGGGTGGTAAGGGGCAGGGAGAAGTTCTTAGAACCTGCCACATGAAACTGCCCCTGAGGGTCCCCACTGTGGAGACCCTCCATGCTGGGCACAGATACTGCCCTGCTCCATTTCCACCAACATCCCCAACCTGCCTTCCTGCCCGGTCACCATCTTCTCCTCGGGGAACCCAGAACCATCCGCTGCAGGGCCACTTCCACCCCCTACTTGACCCTCGGGCTGTCTGTGTACAAAAGTACCAGGATGTCAGCTCCTAGCGTCAGGGCAGGTCCCAGCCACTTGGTCTTCCCTCATTAGGAAGTGGAAGAAGGGTCAGAAATCAGCTTTCATGAAGCACCCATGATAGGACACAGGACACACAAAATCGAGGCCATATAGTAAGCTGGAGGCAAGGAATGGAGACAGGCCCAAGGCATGAGATTTGGGGAAGACAATGATTCAGTAGGCAGAAAAGCTTCTGAAGTCATAAACACAACAAACAACTTTAAAAAACCAAGGGACCTGTATGCTTAGAAATGATTAAACTCAGTATGCAGAAAGAACACAGCACCAATGACAGTGCTGGGGACAGAGCACCCAACAGTATCCCTTGAGTCACTGGAGGGTAGTCTGGGAAGTTGCAACCAAGGAGAAGGGCCAAAACAAGCCTGTCCCACACTGTACTGAGGCAGGGGACACACACAGGATAAGGATGGGCAATGGCCCCACTGTCCCAACTGAGACCACATGGTGGATGGCAGAAAGAGCTTTGCCAGCCAAGAAAAATGGCTAAAAAGCAAGAGGCAGGAAATGGGTCTTGTTTCTTCATTTCCATGGTTACATAGAACAGATTATCCAGAACAGGTGAGAACAATAAGAGAGAAAGAAGGACGTCCTTTAAATGGTTATCATTAACAGCACAGTGGACCAATGAACCAGCCAACAACGAGAGTACAGGACAGGCTCCAGGAGCTTAAAAGAGATGAGATCATCTTCTCTTAATGGATACCAGCACTTGGTGTCTTCACTCACCCCTCACTGGTAAGAAGCTTCTCAGTGGAAAGGGAGTGGTTTAGTCACCTTTATACATGCCCTGTCTGTCACCAGACACACTGCCTGGTGTGGGGAGGGCATGCAACAAAAACTAGATGGGTGATGGATGGGTGGATGGATGGATGGATGGATGGGAGGGTGGATGGATGGATGGGTGGGTGGGTGGATGGATGGATGGATGGATGGGTTGGTGGATGGATGGATGGATGGATGGGTGGATGGATGGATGGGTGGGTGGGTGGATGGATGGATGGGTGGGTGGATGGGTGGATGGGTGGATGGATGGATGGATGGGTGGGTGGGTGGATGGGTGGATGAATAATGGATAGCATGTGTCCCTCATAGATTTTTACCTCCTAGAAAGCAAGGGTCTTGTCTTCTCCATAATTGCTTTTGTGTATGCTCAGTAAATGCCTACAGAATGTCTAGAAAGGGCATGGAGGACTAATCTATAGATACAGGAGGTCCCTGTGCAGGGTCCAACCTCCCAAGCCCTCTAGTGGTAGCTATGGGTCCCCACAACCCTCCCAGGAAATCCAAAGCCAAGGGGGTACAGGGCAGTCGACCTCGAAGCCTTGGACCTGGTGACATTCGCAGCCTCCTGCTGCAGGAGGACAGCCACAGCATGGCTCCCTCACGTGTCTTGGCTTATGGTCTTCGCTCCTACCTCTCAGAGGGCCCACCTCCCCTCCTCATCATATTCAAAAGCCACATAACTCATTTTTTCCCATGGAACCCCTATTCCGCAGCCTGGCTAGCTTGGCCGAGCAACAGAAAAACCCACAGAACCTGAGCTAGGAAAAAAAATGTTAAGATCTAGTAAAACTCCCTGGCTACTTGCAAGCAAACACATTACAGGGGTTTTGCTACTCATTAAGGAAAAGCCCTGGCTGCTCCTTCCTCACCTGGAGAAATTAGGTAATCAGCCCAGATTAGGTAAGGATTTCAATGCAAATCACATCATTTTCACAGTCATTAACATCGGGGCCTTAGATTTGTTTTCAATCCTAAAATAAAACGTTTCCCAGGTAACTAAGGAAACTATTCAAGGGCAGCAATATCAGGCAGGCAAGATATTTAAAATAAATGAGCCATTTGTTCCTGCTTCTGTACCAAGTTGCTTTTTCAATTTCAGATGACATGATACTGTGGATTAAAGGGGGAGGATGGAGTAAAAGGGTTTTCTATCCCCAAATATGACTTAGTCATTTGATTTACAGCGGTAACATTCCTTCACTGTAAGTCGCATATGCAGAACTCCCCAACCTGACAACTGTTCCAGGGTATCGCTGAGATTTGTGTTCTTCTTTCTTCCCTCAAATACTTTTTATATTTCCAGGGCCTAGCATGGAGCCTGGGGTGCAGGAGGCATTCTGGGATGACAAAGAAGCCCCCATTCCACTTCACACAGAGGATTTTCCCTTCAAAGCAGGATTGCGCTGTGTTTCCAAGACACCGTTATCCAGTCCAAGATCCAAAGAGCAACTGTACTCCCACTGGAACTGCTATTTCTGAAGTTCCCAGTACTGACCGCGTTCTCCACCCCACCATTAAAGCCTCCGACACCCTGACACACAGCCCTGATAGCCCCGAGGGATGTATCCCACCTAGGACTCAAAGATGCCTGGAGCTCCGGCCTCCCTCCCCACCGGCCTCAGCCTCTCCCGGCATCCTCTGCCAAGAGCAGGTTATGATCCCTGGACGGTGATCTGACTGTCGCGGCTGAGCTGGACACAGCAATCTTGGGTTTTCCCCTGTGCTGCCTGGGCCCTCCTCTGAATGACCCATCTCAGTCCAAAACCAAAGTGTTCTCCAGTCCCCTTGGCCAAAGGCTAATGGCTGTGGGACAAAAGGCAGTATTGGCCCAGGCCACCTTTCGTTCCTTGTGAAAGGTCTTAGTCTACCTTGCTTTCCTTATGACACAAGGCCCGTACCCTGCTACCTACACGCAGCCCTTTGCCACTCCATCTGTGTGCACACATGCATGTGTGTCAAGGAAAGAGGGTGTGTTGGGTGCACTAACTATAAAAGAACAAACTCACAGAGAGCAAGTACTACATCCATTTACAAAGTCCTTATGTTTTCAAGGGGAGTGATTCAACCCCAAATCTTACAAGTAGTGGATGAAATAAACATCATTTATTTCAAACTTCATCTGCAATGAAGTATTACGATTATACGCTCCTACTTTGGTAGATATTTAGGCAAGGTGGAATAACTACTGCAAAAAAATTTTTTTTAAAGGCTTAGCACAATGAAAGAGTTTTTGTTCAATTCCTTGTGTCAGCTGGAAGGGACACTGCGTTCCACCTAGTCACATAGGGACCCCGTCTCTTTCTATGTCTCTGGCCTCAGAGCCTCGGCTGGATTTTTTCTATCCAGTGAACAAACAAGGATATGGAGGATCAGTTGGGTTCCACACCTGTAATTCTACACTGGGGAGGCTGAGGGAGGAGGATAGGGGAATTGTGGGTTCAAGGCCAGCCTGGGCTACATAGCAAAGTAACCAGTGCACATCCTGGACTCAGTGAGACCGTCTCAAAAAACAAATGAGGCTGGGTATGGTGGCGCACGCCTGTAATCTCAGCACTCTGAAGCCTGAGGCAGGAAGATCATTGTGAGTTCAAGGCCAGCCTGGGCTACATAGTGGGTTCAAAATCGTCTGGACTACATAGAAAGATGCTATATCAACAAATAAACAAGCAAACAAAGAAGGCAAACAACAACAACAAAAGTAAAAGAAAGCACAGAGGATCAAGCTAGTAGCTCCATGAAGTAGCTTAAATCCCTGCTGCGCATGTTCCATCCCCAGTTTAGTCCCACGGCAGCACCTACCTGCAAAGGAAAAGGGGCAGAAGTGTGGACTACCTAGATGCCCAGGAAGGAAGACTTCATTATTTTGTACTCATGATTTAAAGATGAATAAACCCATATGTAAAAGAAATAAGATGGCTGGGTATGGTGGCACACACCTGCAATCCCAGCACTCGGGAGGCTGAGGCAGGAGGATCGTTGTGAGTTCGAGGCCAGCCTGGGCTACAAAGTGAGCTCAAGGGCCGCCTGAACTGCATAGCAAGACCCTGTCAAAAAGACAAAAGAAAAAAAGGAAAAGAAATAAAAAGAAAAGAAATAAGATGCACAGCACAAGATATCAAGACTTACTAGGAGCAAAAGCCAGGACTAGGAAATTTCAAAAAGTAACATTTATTAAGCGAATAATACGGGACAGGTTGTGCTAAATACTTGCCAAGCATGGTTTTCATTGATTCTCGGGACCACCCTATGGGCCTGGTGCTATTATTATTCCACTTGATAACAAGAAAAATAGGGCTGTGAACAGTAGGGCATCAGGCCCAGGGTCACATAATTAACAAGCGGCAGCAGCATAATTTGAACCCAAGCTCCCTTGATTGGTGAATGGCTTATCTTAGTGCTACCCTGTATGGCTCCTTGGGTCTCCTGATACAAAGCATCAAATGCACATTTCCACCTGGTGCCCAGCCTGCAGGCCCCAGCCTGGGCTCCAGCCAAGGGACATGTGTGAGTTATGCCCTGTCCTGCTCATTCCGGGGAGCTCTGGCCTTGGGTCCAGGATACTTCTTGGGTCCCCCTGGCATTTGCCCACCCAGAATGCATCCCGGTGCGGACAGCAGCAGCCACCACACATCAGCCAGATAAGCGTTTTGCCCTTGCTGCTTCTGAACATCAGGGGAAAGGATTTGCCTTTTCCTGCTCTACTGCCAAGGCCGGGGCCTCCACGTTTGAGTTATGTCGTTATTATTTTAAGCGATAGAAATCTAGTCAGTGATTTGTAGCAATCGCTGCTGTGCAGCGTGTGCAAAAGGCCCTGCAGAGTCTTGCAGAAGGGAGTAGAAACCCAGCAAACCACTCTTGTGTCCTTGACACAATTCTGTGAGGCGCCGGTACAGTCTTTGTTCGAGCTGAAGTCAGGCGCATGCGCCGATTAAAAGTTCACGATAACGCAGAACAGGTAGTTATCGCGGAAACTAGGAAATGTTTCCAAAGAAACCAAGAGAGGCGACTGATGGGGATCAAAGGGCACCCGGAGGTCAAGGAAGACAGCAGAGGCAATTGGGCTTCGAAAGAACCAAGCTGTCTCCAGACCCTTTTTCTTTAATGCCGTCATCACAGCTTGAAGTCATGCAAATCCACAGTCCGCCTGTCTGCCTTGTCAGTTTTCCCATGATCCAAACCAGTTACAAAAATGGTCGAATGGCACCGGCCTCCCTAATGAACTGAGTGCCCTGGCCGGTGCTCTCACCCCCTTGTGCTGACCTCCTCAGACCCAGCATCTCAGGACCTCCATCTCCTGCCGATGCCCACCCCAGTGGAATGAGGGGATCCATCACCAGGTCCACAGGAGCCTATTTCCCCCACCCCACACCCACCCCTCCGGGTGAAGAAGCCACAGAGCTTCCCCAGACCTCGGTGATCCCTTCTCCCCGGGCCTTAGGCCCAACCTCTGGCCACCTGTGAGATTTTCCTCTCTGCTCCCAGATACCAGATAACCTCTTCTTCACGCCATTTCCTTCAGACTCGTCTCAATCCACAGCCAGAGAAATGCAGTGAGCCTCAGGAGAGCATAAAACCAGATTGCAATGAAACGTCATCTCACACCTGTCAGAGTGGCTGCTATCAGGAAGCCTGAGGAAGCATCTCAACCAGTTGTGGAGCAAAGGGAACCCATGGGAATGTCAGTTAGTGCACCCACACAGAATTACCGCCTGATCCAGCGATCCTGCCGCTGGGTGTAAATGCAAAAGATTTGTAGCCAGTTTGTCTCGGAAATGTCAGCACTCTCGCGTTCACTGCTGTATTCTCCACAATGGCCAGGTCAGGAGTCAAACAAAGTGTGTATCAATAGATGGATGGACATAGAAAATGTGGTTCATGTACCCAATGGAATACTACCCAGCCTAGCCGGGCATGGTGGTGCACCCCCGTAATCCCAGCACTCGGGAGGCTGAGGCAGGAGGATTGTTGCAAGTTCGAAACCATCCTGGGCTACAAACAAAGTGAGCTCAAGGCCAGCCTGAGCCGCATAGTGAGACCCTGTCTCAAAAAGACAAAAAAAAAGGAATACTATCCAGCCTAAAACAAGAAAGAGTCTTATGATTCACAATGACATGGACAGAACTGGAGAATATTATACTGAGTGTACGTAACAAACTAGGCACAGAAAGACAAATACACATCTTCACTGTGTGTGGAATCTCAAACAATTGAACTTATAGAAGCAGACAGCAGCATGGTGGTTACAAAGGCAGTGGGAAGGGCCATCGGGAGATGACAGCCAAAGGGTACAAAGTCTCAGGCATGGAGAATAAGGTTTAAATCTACTGCATAGCACAGTGAGTATAATTAATGCTAGTATATTGCACCTTTTAAAATTGCCAAGAGTATAAATAGCAGATGTCCTTACTACAAAAAGTGGTATTTGACATGAAAGATTATGAATTAGGTTGACTTAAGTATTCTACATAGTAGAATATTTAAAATTTTTTAACATATGACAGGAAAAAATACATTGTTATTAATCCCCCTCAAAATACTCCCCCTTGCTTCAAACACAGTTACACCATCACTCTTTCCACTTTGGGGAGCAGTTCTGGAGTCCTCTTTTGTAAGTGTCTAACACTGCTGAATGCCATCCAAGAGAAAAGCAGGCTTGGTGTGTCCTCATCCACTTTATTTGCCACGTCTGGCACTGTATAACTCCTGGCTCTTTCTCAAAGTCAAAATGACCCTGAGAGTTCAGTGTCAGGAACTGATTCACGTGACAGTAGAGCTAAAAACAGGAAAGAAGACTTCCAGAACTGCTTTGGAAAGTGGCAAGAACACCGGGCTAAGTGTTTGAAGTGAGGTTAGGATTTTTGTTTGTTTGTTTGTTTTTTCTGGTACCGGGAATCAAACTCACGATCTTGCGCTTGCCAGGCAGGCGCTGTGCCGCTGAGCTAAATCCCCAGCCCGAGGTTAGGATTTTGAGAGCGGTTCATGGCAATGTGTCCTTTACCATAATAAATTTTTATTTAAGCACATTATACTTTTCCATCACATCTAGTAGTCATAAATTGTAACATCATTTTGTAACCCATACGTTGATAGGTGTTGTTAATTTATAACGAATTTTCTTTTAAATATTCAAAAATAAAATTTCCAGGGTTAGGGATATTGCTCAGTGGTAGAGCTCTTGCCCAGCATATGTGAGGTGCTGGGTCCAATCCCTCACACCAAAAATCAATCAGTGAATAAAAGTCCATCTGCTGAAATTTTTTTCTCCTCTGTTTGGTTCAAGTATATTCACAATTGCTCGATTCATGTATATTCATAACTGCCATCTTAGGATGGCAGTTTTTAAGTCTTAGTGTGATAATTCTCACATCTCCATCATCTCAATATTGGCCTCTGTTCATTGACTGTTTTCATTCAGTTTGGAGATCTTCCTGGTTTTTACATGATGACTGTCTTTGTACAGACACCTGGATATTTTAGGTGTATTACTGAGTCCTGCATCTTACTTAAACCCTTCACTCAGCTGGCTTCCTCTGACATCATACCAGCAGGAGGCTCACTATGGCCAAGTGGGGACAAAAGTCCAGATTCCTTATTTGGTCTCCACTGACAGCAGGATGGAAAGGAAAGTTGTCAACACTCTGGTTGTGATGACTTCTGATACCTCCCTGGGAGGGGTGAAGGTTGCTTTACTAGGGAGCCATAGGTAGCTGTCCCTGGCTCCACAGGGGGAATTCACGAGAGACTCATGGCCTCATTTCTGCTGTGTGGCTGTAGGAGTCCTAACAACCAATCACTGGGCCCCTTCTGAGCACCACAGTGGGAGGTAAAGGGACATCTTGTTGCTTGGGAGTGGAGCCCTGGGTTTTCCACGTGAGCCTATTGAGACACCGCCTCTCAGAAACGATCTAGTCTATCTGCATTCATTTGGGAATGAAGAACTAGTGACCCAGAGATGGGCAACGGATTGCTGGAGGTCAATGACAAGTTGAGGGCAAACTCAGAACTCAACACTCATCTCCAAGAGTGCATGTCGATAAACCGAAGATCTCCCAGACCATAGCAGGAATGCCAGCCCCCAGCCCAACATAATAATGAAAAATCTCCTGGCCAAGGGATAGCAGCTGCCTCCTCTCACATCCTGCCAGACCCCAGGCCAGAAAGCACACATGGCTCCGCGCCATTGCCCCCCTAAACAACACAAACATTGTCTGCTCAAGATGGGCCTTCCATCCAACACACACAGCGAAAGCACATTCGAGAGCCAAGAACCACAGCGTCCCATCACCTTCGGGGCTGGTGGTCTTCCATCTGGAGAGGATCCTGGCTTTCCTTCTGCTGGAATCCCTGAAACCAAGATACACCCAGGAGCTGTGGAATGCAGAGCAGCCAGCGGGCCGGGCGCCCCCCTCCTGGCTGGAGAGCAGGGTCTTCACCCAGCTGGAGCTGCCTTTCCTAGACCCGGCCTCGCCTCTCGCCCAGCCACCAGCCTCGGCACAGTGCTGCTTATTCTCCAAAGAGGGAGAGCCTGTAACCTGGGAGGGGAAACTGCTTTCTAACAGCCTTTGTTTTTGTTTCCATTTAAAAAGGTTAGTGACTTTATTGCATGTGGAAAGAACCAAAGCAACAGTTTCAAAGAGCCTCAGCATGTTTCGGAGCTGACCAAATACACAGAACTTTTGAGTGGGGAGAGAAGGAAAGGGAAGAGAGGGAACAAAAGTTTGTCCCCCTTTCACCATGTGCCAGGTGTGAGCTGGGTGCTCCTTCTGTGCCCCCTACACTCCCACCGGCTTTGACCATAAAAATTCCAGCAACATCAACTTCCAAGCCCCCTACCGTGGACCACTACACTGTAGCGAGTCAGGCAGGGATGCTGGGCTCCAGGATGGCACATGATAATAAACGTGCTAGGGAAGATTGCAGTCACCAAGGACAGTGTCACACAGTGAAATCACCCTAGTCTCCT